AAAGACATGCAGACTACATTCTTCTTAGCTACAAACTTATTTTGGTCTAGAATCTGTAACGTTTGTTAGCACTTAATATTTGGAAACCACATTTCCCTAAGGTATCGTGAAGCTTGAGTTTTCCCCTTAAACACCAAGCAAGGCAAGGTCACGGTTAAACTTCTTCTCCATGGCCTACACCCACCTACACGTATGCAGATGGATTTAAACATCCAACCAGTACAATCTAGTTGTAGTGGACATAACAGATTTCAAGGAAAATTTATATGACTCAGTACATCCAGAATGTAACAAAAACACGATTTAAAAAAACCCCAAACCAACTTTGTTTTGATTCCTGAGATAATTCTCATGTTCCAACATGGCATGTTAGAGCAGCGGTTCTACTGCATTGGTAAAATGCAAGGTTAGGGGGTGGCTTTACATAGTATATTTGGGGAAACAAGTTTATAAAATGCTAGTTTAGCCCGTGGGATTTTTACAAGACTTTTATGTAAACATTACAGAAAAAGAAGAAAAAAAATGAGTGTATGCTGACATGAAAAACAGTATTTCACCCTTGTGAAAAAGAAGAAGCGCCAAAATATTTTGCATGATTATCCATTAATTTAAAAAATACGCTTATTTAAAAAAGCTGTGCATATCTAACATCTGTCATAATCCACAATCATAAAACATAAAGGGAGGATGGATGATACAATCAATCCTGTTTCCATATCACAGTGCTCTTTTACTGAAACCAAAATCCAGTTTAAGACAAAAATATTGGTTCTTAAAACATTACTAAGTAGGCTGCACTGCTACTCAACCGTACGAAGTACGCTGTTGTAATTTTTATTAACTGTAGCGGACTCCCTGCTCCCCTGGAGACAAACACCATTACAGTGGACATAAATGATGCCTGAAAGCGGGATACTGCATGTTCTTCTATAAAGTGTGTATGTACAAAACACAAATAGAATCTAAGCAACACTACCTGAAAAAAACTATCCAAGAAAGGCAGTATCTCTGCAAATACTACCATGCAAAAATAAATGGATTTTTTTTTTGGGGGGGCGGGGGGGAAAGTCAGGCTCAAGAACAAAATCAGAAACACTGACTCTTGTGCCTGGTCTATGCAGCACTGGGTCATTTCTTGCGCTGCTGAGCGAGTTCAGCCTGGGCTTTATCCTTTGTACTGAACAGAAGTTTTGAACTCCACCGTGTGGACAAAAGGAGGTATGTTGCAGCCTCAGGAAAGTTTCCCTCTTACCAAGTTTATTACTTTCCTTAGGCAAACTGAGTAGTTCTGTACATAGCTATTTGAAGAAAATCCCAACACATTCTTAGTAGATGATAACGCAGCTTGCCATAAAATATAAGTCTGACCCTGAACTAGAACAAAGCTTAGAAAGCTTTTAAGAAAGGTTTAAAACATTTTGTCAAAGATATTTCAGGTCAAAGTCCTGTTGTAAGTAAACATTCCCAAATCAGAAAAATTATCTTGTGCTACTGGAAAAAATAATCCTCCGTGTTTAGTTCCTTGCAATGCGTACTGCAGCACAGACTGCTCAAAACAGATATGAAACTGATAAAGCAAATTGCAAAACAGATTAACATCACTCTGCCCTCCCCGGCCCCCTTCCCAAAAACTAAGACAACATCAGCCTGAAACTGCAAAGAAATTTCAGGGGCCAAACCTGAAAACCATGCAGAAGCATGTTTCCAGCTACATTCTGCTTTCAATTCTAAAAATATAGAGTAGGAGCAAACCAGCGTGAAGTAAAGTTAAGCTGGGATTAACTCTGTTCTACCCCAGTGAAGAACGCGGGGTAGTTCTTTAAAAGGTATTGAGATAGCCCATATAACAAAATACCCGTTTTCTCATGTGAGAAAATTAGCGTCAGCTTTTAGCAAAATAAAAAATAATGCAACAAGATAGTTACCAAAGCTACCTGCAAATAAATTCAAAGTGTTCAAATTCATTTTAAAAAGACCTTTAGATTTGAGCCTATAAAAAGAAAAAGGCATCTGTAGGAAACGTAGATGAAAAAATAAAACTTCTTCAAATATAAAAAGTGTTCTGCTTTCTGATAAGTTCAAGTAAATTAACATACAGCAATTGCATCCGGCAAATAACAGATGCTTGGTTTCAGCTAGCTAAAAGCCCCAAAATATACACATACCATTAATGCGGCGCAATAGTCTTACGAACAGCCTTCCAGGACGGGGGCTGCTTGGAAACCTCTCAGTCACGCGGATACTCTTTACAAGACAGCACCCTTTTTGATATTATCACAGAAAATCAGGTTTAAAATTAACTTAGGAAGTAAAAAAATATTTAGATTTTTACATATATTGGAATTACTAAAGAAGTAAAAAGAAATCAATGAAAAAAATGTTCATGCAAGATACCTGACCAGCAGTTCATTTGACTGAATGGAAAACAGTATGCGGGGCCTGGTCCTCCGGTGGTGTATGTACACCGATACATACATTGGTGCAAGGCCCCTGGCTTTACTCGCTGGGCCGGCAGACCTGTGGCCCAGACAGCAGCAGGTGCCTCGGGACAGACAAGCGCTCGGTTTCAAGCCGCCTCGCCAGTTCCCAGCGTTGGCACAGCTACGGCGCTCCGAGGACCAGATCTGGAAAGGCGGTCAATACCACAGCGCAAACCAAGACGTGCTCCATGGCACAGGAGGTCTGGAACGGGAGCAGCACGTTTTGACCTAAGCACAGGCGGGACCACTTGTTCCAAATGCACCTTCACCCCAGCGGGACGGGCGCCACCGCCCGCAGAGCAGAGGACACGCTGGCCTGGAGAAGGGGCAGTGACTGCCTCCGAGGGACAGCGGGGGATGAGCAGAAAGGGAGGCCTGAGGACTGTGATTCACCTGCGGGCTTTGACCCATCCATCCCTATCCTCACGAGGGACAGGCAAAGCACCCTGACCCCCCCAAAGGGTCGCCAGCTGCAGAGCATATTACAGCTCGCAGATTCCCTTCAGGGGGTGGTTTCATGGTACGCCACAGGTTTCTGCCATCCTCCTTCCTGCTGCCCTCTCCTGTTCCAGGTGTTTACTCTCAGCCTTCAATCTCTGTGTTTACATAAACATCGCTCTGGTGCCAAGCACCTTGTTCCCTCCAAACGCCTAACCGATTAGCACATTAAGTGGCACTCTGAGGTTGCTCTTAGGGTGTGCTTTCTCTCTCAGAAAGCGTGGCTAAGGCTTGCCTGTGCTCCCCAGCTACCCGGGTTAACTCTGTTACCTCTTGCTCCGGTCTGGGTACAAGTGGTAGGAACTCTATTCAGAACAAATGCCGATGTGTTTTGTTTTTTTAAAAGACTCCCACCATTCATTCCTTATTGTTTTTAAGGAAAAACCAGAAGTCAGCCAGATTAGTCTCACAACAGCCTCCCTGGAACCAGCACTTCCAATTTGGGAACGCTTCCCTGGCGGCTCAGTACTGCTCAAGCACGGAGATCACCTAAACCGCTTACCAGCCTGAAATGGGAGCGAACAACTGGCTTCCTAATGGTGGGGCAAGAGCCCTCACTGCTGCTTTTGTACTATGGGTTTATTTTGAGGTTGTGGTGTATAGCTGTCCACGTTCTCTCAATAGCACCTTCACTTTCCATTGCACTGTAGCAAATTCCTTAGGACTAATCTAGGATCACTTCTTTTTCTAATAATCAGGAGTGAAACTTCACCCACCCTCCTCCCTCCTTTTCAGAATCAGCCTCTGTATGACTGATTTTCTTCATCTTTTCTTTTGCTCAACCCTTTGAGCTCTATAGGATTTACACTTTGTTCTGTTTTGTTCTTCATTGACAATGTCTGGTCCTGAAGCATTTACTCAATGCCTGCAAAATGCATGCAGTCATGCTCTCTGTAGTACACCTTTCCAAGGAGGCTTTCGTAATTTTTCCGAATTTCTCTTGAGCTCAACTTTTTGCAGCCAGTTATTAGGACCTGTGAGTTTTACGTTCTACTGTTTCCACGTTCTTCTCAAGTTTATTTCGGCACACAATTATTGCAGGAGGAAGAGGAAAACTGTGCCATCCGTAAGATTATAGAGGTTTGCGAAGTTCCTTCTTTGACTGTCTCACTGTGTACCCACCACCTCTGCTCTAAAGCAAGAGGCTGTCTTTGCTGTAAGCAGACATAACGGCAGAGTAGCTTGGCTACAGGCAGTGGTACTACACCTACTAAGTCCACGTTAACGGTTAGAAGATGTGCCAGTTCTCGGCTAGGAACACCACCACCAGCCCCTAAGGGTTTAATATCTGGAGTATACGTAACCATGACTAAACAAATATGCAAGCCCTCAGTTGGGACAACATCCAGTCAGGAGAGACGCTCCTCGGGGCTACACCTGGCGAATTTCCAGTCAGTCTGAAGCTAAATGTTGGATGGGGTTAGAGAGACCATAAACGCATCTTCGTTTCCTTCTTCAACATCTAGGAAGTGACTGAAACGGTGGGTAGCGTTCGCGGTGCACGACAGGGACCCAGTTCAGAAGGTGTGCCGGAGCCTCCTCGATGTGAATGTTTAGTCTAAACGGAGTTCCCAGCGCTCCAGCTCAGGTCCTGCATTCGCCATGAGGGGGTACGCTTTAAAACTTCAGAACTGCATTTTCTCCACTTAAATTTCACCACCAGCAAGAAAAATAAAGCCAGCTTACATACTGAGGCATACATACTGTCTCAAGTTATAATAAAATATCTTTTGTTTGAAGAAAGAAGCTTATGAAAATTATTTGGGCCTATTTTCTCCTCTAAGCAAAATAAATATGAGAAACATAACACATGGAATGCACTCTGGAAAATATATGTCATCATTTCATAATTCGACACTGCAAATAACATAGAAAAAGGCTCAATTCTGTGCCTTATAAATAATCTATATACCATGCAGTGTCGAGGGGAAAAAAAATGCACCAAGTATTTCAAAGATTAAATTAACTTATTGAGAGGAGTGAAAAGTGACTGTGAACCCAAGTGTCTATGGGAGAGGGTTTTTATTTCCCGCTGGTGCGTGACCGAGCCTGTGATACGTGGTAATAGCAATCTGCCGGATTGCATCTTCCGTTGGGTCCAGGTGGCCCCTGCGGTCCGGGTGAGCCTGGCGTTCCCGGTGGGCCCGGCAGGCCAGTAGCTGGTAAAACAAAGCTAGAATTAGCAGAGTCCTCGCCAGAGCGCGTGCAGTGCCCCGTGTTTCATCACTGACAGTCAGCTGCACGCCAGCTCATCCGCGAGAAGGCAGGTGGGTCTGACCTCATTCTACGACCAAGCTTGGGAGGAAAGGCATGGGTGTAAAACCGGTGTGAAAACCAGGAGAAAGGCCTGTTAGTTCATAAATAACAATAGCAGAAATAAATCTGGAGACTTGTACCTGCAGGGCCGGGTGGTCCAGGGTTACCGGGCAGTCCAATTCCAGGCTCGCCTCTTTCCCCTTTCTGTCCTCTATAACCTACACAGAATAAAGATATGAAAATAAGAGCGTCCTCTCATTATAAACAGTGATCTTCCATATATCTTGTTGACAGGAAATTATCAAGACAAATGTAATTGGGAAAACACATGCTCACTTCTTTTTCTGAGACGGGTATTTTTTTCTGAGAGCGCTCTTATGTTTATAAGTTCCTTCTGGAACATATGAGCATTTCTAGCAGTAACTGTTGCATCCTCTCCCAGAGGACTCTCGCTATGTTCACTAGCCAGACCTTTCTCTGAGATTTTAAGTTACCTTCCTGACGTTCCTCTAATAAAGAACCAAATGTGTATTCTGCTCCAGTGTTACCTGTTCGATGAAGTGATGTAAAGCACCAACCCAAAGGCCATCTGGAGTCTGACCAGCCCTTCTCTGATAGCCCACAAACTGAGCGAGACTTCGCCCTCTCCGCTCTACATAAATCTTTATGTCTTCACTTTTTAGACTGTTAACTGGTAGTTGCATGCTTAGATATTTCCCTGTATGCAAGAGAAGACCCACTCCCCCTCCAGTGTTACACAGCTGCCCTCACATGGAGTGAGGCGTCCTTAGAGCTTATGCAGATTTCGGGTTCTAGCAGGCAAGGCCTACTTTGACCCAAGTGGCTGCATATTGTTAACAAGGTGTGACTACTAATTATACTTTGAGTATTTGTGTCCATTTTCTTCACAGGCCACAGCTTTGTATTTATCTAAATAGCTTCCCTCTTCTCGGGTGCTGCAACTCATGTCCAATGCCTGTTTCTTTTTCCTTGAACTGTTTGTAAAAAGTTTTATCAGTTGGAAACACTGGCTGCTTTAGAGCAGAGGATTCGTGGCTATCGGTAAAACATTTTGCTTAATATTTCAAGTTAAGAATCCATCTACAAATGTACCTTTTCTTTTTAGACCATGTAGGACAGGGGATGAAGGCATTTTTAAAGGAACAAGTGTGATACCTGCCACAACCCCTTACTTTAAAAAGGATTATAAGGAAACCCTCTTCCCTCCCCAACACCTCAGACATTGGCATGTAAGGTGACAGATGTTGAAGATTAATTTGCCAACTTCTGGTCACATTTGGAATTAAATTTGTTCTGCTTCAGGGACCAGTATATTTCCAGTGTCGCGTATGCCATACAATAAACTTCCTCTCGTGAAGAGCTGTAACTTAGTTTGAATTAAAAGAGAAGAGTCACGGCTGATCAGTCAACATAGTGATATCAATCCACCTGATGTCTCATGAAGATTAATGGGCACTGGCAGATGGATGGCAAAGGTTGTCTTGTCAGTGTACTGCAGTCTGTGGCAACACTGGTACTTTACAGGACAATCCAGAAGGAAACTATTGTCAGTGCTGTGGGTACCAATTCAGGGTTGTTACGACAGACACAATGCAGTAGGAATGGTACACAGAGTATTCAAGCTTTCTATTAAACACAAGCTCATTATGCACCTCGGTAGAAAGTCTATTATCCATTGCAATCATTCTAGGTTTCAAAACAGAGCATCAATTATCTTTCTCTTCTCTCAGCACCCCAACAAGGAAATTACGGTGAGGCAAAATCATTAGAAAATGCATGCAGAGTGACATGCATAACGTAACAAAAGGAAATCAACTGCTTAAAAGCTCACAGAGAAACAAACAATATTAATCATGCATTCTGGTCACTGAGTTGTGTTAAGCAGAATTGTACAAGGCATATACGCACACAAGCTATAAAGACTCAGAAAAGGGAATATGCAGGTGTTGTATTCAACTGTGAATTCTGATTTTGCTCTTTAATGACCATAGTAGTATTTGTAACTACATCAAGTTGGTTTGCTCTGAAAATCTTGTGTAACGCATAGTAGTTGCTACTGTTTGAGAAGCTCAATCATACAACCACAGGATCTATTACATTTCCTATTTATTATATATCTCTCTGTTTCTTAATTTACAATAGATAGTTACAGTACATTTCTCACTACAAATCCAGTTAATTGTAATTTTACAAAGCAGCGCTGCCACTAATCATTTGTTTTGCATTTCTTTAGTTTATGGGGAAAAGAGAGAAATCACATTTACGATGTATCACATTTACAAGCTCCATGATAACCATTACTGTAGGTATCTGAGACATCATAATTGAAAAGGGACTGAGATACACTAAAGGATTCTGTAAACATCACTGGAATTCAAGACAATAAGGAAAAAAAAACAACCCACAATAGGACAAAGAGCAGCCTGCCAATGCAAATATACGATCCAGGGTAGTGTAAACCACTACTGGCTGGATCTGAATACACATGCAAAGCTGGAGTTTGTAATGATAACCATTACTGTAGGTATCTGAGACATCATAATTGAAAAGGGACTGAGATACACTAAAAGGATTCTGTAACATCACTGGAATTCAAGACAATAAGGAAAAAAAAACAACCCACAATAGGACAAAGAGCAGCCTGCCAATGCAAATATACGATCCAGGGTAGTGTAAACCACTACTGGCTGTATCTGAATACACATGCAAAGGTGTAGTTTGTACACAGTGGCAGGTAAGTTCTGTTGACACTGAAGTTTAATAAAAAACTCCTACATATCTTTTCTAAAAATAAGGCTTTATTTAACAGGGTGTAAGCATATTAATAAACAGGGCTATATGTAAACAGTCTGAACAAGGTAATTTGTAATTCTGGCAGGAAAATATTTGATTTTTAATGAGGTATATTTTGCTCAGAAGTAGGGCCATGATTACACTTCTAGAGGATAATATCACCTTCTCTCTGAGCTTAAAGTGACAAACTCATACACAGTCAAAGGAAAATATTACCATATACGTAAATCAGATTTTGATTTATTGTTTTTAACATAAAGGCACATATAAGATGCTGTCTATTTTTACTGGTAGAATTACAATTCCAGTAAGAGGTGCCTGCTTAATTCAAAAGGCGACTGCTTTAGCAAAGCCTTTCACTCGGGTTCCAGAAGTTTTGCTGGGATTTCTGCAACCCAAAAGTTGTGGTATGTAAACATGTACCCAACGTGGGTAGTACGGTAAACACGTGGTAGCAGTATGTAGCAAGTATGTGTTCAACCGGATAAGCTTTCTTCTGCTCATAGATGAGTGGTGACGGCTAAAATACAGCTCTCGGTTTGGTGCTCTCCACAAACATCACAGTCAGAAGCATCGCTACCACAACACCCTTAGCTCTACTTGGAAATGACACAAGTTCACCTCTATGAACTTGGAAGTAAAAGGTTCTCTCATTTAAACAGCTCCAAAAGGTATTCCACCTATATCATGGAGACCCTCTTCTAGCCGCATGGATAATGCAGCATCTGGAACTAGCATGTCAAGTATCTAGAGAAATCTGTGGTTCTTTAACACAAATACGAGGCAAACACATTACCATGACAAGGAACAATGAGACTGAAGTATCCACTGTGTTTTACTGTGCAAATACTCTGCGTTCTTAAAAACAAACAACTGCAAAGCAACAGGAAGGGTGCTGAGAGCAAGCCCTCTCATGAAGCCTCCAGTGTATATTCTGAATTCCTTCTGTGTCCTATAGCCCTCTCAGCTGAGAGGTAGTAACTGAGTTTCAGATCAAAGTAAAACAGGTTAACTTCACCCTCCACAGCAAAGAACAGTTTACAGGAGGTAATGCTTGAAACCAGTGCAGCTATTTTGGAAGAGTGACCGTGTCTGGACAACATCCACTACAATGGGTTCCTGATGTCAGCCAAGGTTTCTAGCTGCTCCCACCATGCAAATTAATAGTAAGAGAGAGAAATTTTACAACAGAAATCAGCAATAAAGATAAGGAGTTTTGACTGTTCATCACATGGTATTTTTCTTCCCTGAGCTGTGATGCCTGATTCCTCCAGGCTACCATGAGTTACGAGAACCTATAAAAAACTCTTAATTTGATAGAAATAGTGGAGTTTAACTACGATGAAACCTTCTTTTCTCTATTGAGAAAAAGTCAATAGTCATATTAACATAAAGGATAATACGCATCTCTGGATTGCAAAATTATCCCAAGGTGAATTTGGTCTAATGGACCAAAATTCACTTTCTATTATAGTTTTAAAAATCCAATTAAGTCAGTGGAATTAATTGAGCTAGATCCGCTAACACATGACAATCTGACTGACTTTGCAAATGGATGACATTGCGATAGCTTGTCAAGAAAGTCTTGAAATAAACCTCCTGTTTCTCTACGAGACATTAGCATCCTTTAAAATGCATACAGAGTAAACAAGTTCCTCTGCTCCCCCTTAAGCAGATGCTATACATTTCACTGGTAACACTGCCTCACAGTATCAGCTTGCTGATGCATATGTCAGGTTATTTTTTTTAAATGAAGATAGATATATATATATAAAAACCAAAAATCTTCCAATCACTATTATATGAAGTGTGTTTACATACCAATTGCATATTTCATAATTTATGTTGCAGTTCTTTCTTGTTTTTTGTTTGCATGCTATATTTTTACTGAGGTCACCATATAAAATCAAAATTATTTGTACCTGAACCACTGGGAAGTACCTGAGGTACACTATGAACAAACTTGCTGAAGGCCAGCAGGTAACAATTCTGGACTTCATTAGAAATGAATGACTCTATGCCCAAGAGTCTAGCAATTCCTTCAATACACTTTTTGAACGCCATGTCTACACTTCCAAAAGTTAGTATCTATGTTTTCTGCCTCTGGGACTAACCCCTACCTATTGGTTTGCCGTGCAGAAGGAGGCTCTGGTGGAATCTGGCCGGGTCAGGCCAGCTCAGTTCCTGGGGGAACTGGCACCATACTCGAGGCGTACAGAGGGACCCCAGCAAAGCCGTAAGTCAAGCACCTCCTTGGGCACACGGTAACTCCCGCCCGTCCCGCCGGCTGGCTCTAGCAGGCTCTCTGCTCAGCACGCAGCATCGCAAACTGCTCTGGAGGTGTTTGTAGAGGTCCTGTTAATTGCTCTCCAACAGTATCTACTTCTTTTCACTGGCTCTATGGGACAAGTGACTGTTTCATTCCGCCAGCCCAAATGTAAATTACTATACACAGCAAAACCTTGGAGTTGGCAATCTGAGCTACAACCAAGTGAAAATTATAATAAGGAATATCTGGCAGTCAATACCAAATATCCTCTCCAATGCATATTATGACTTGGGCATACGTGCACACAGCATGCTACCTTGATGATCTGAGCCACATATGCACGTAACATGCTTCTCGAAGAAGTCTTGTCTGCTGTGTCTTTTATGGCTGAAAATAAACTGGAATACGGAAGGATACTTTTCAATCTGCTGAGAGATTTGAATTTCTTTTTACTGTTGGCACAAAACAAAAACATGCACAGGCACAACTGGGAAAGGCATGAAGGGTATTTGTAAGTGTGCTTCTCTCATGGGACTCTCTCTTACTCAGTGTAAAAAGGAGGCAAGACAAATTTTTTGTTTTCTTTCCTTGGAAATATAATTTCATATATCTTTTGAGGTATCAGAGAAGTAAATGCTTCTCACTTAGCTTACCTTTTACTAATCAAAAAAGAGTATTGAGCATATCAGTAAAACAAATGGAAATCCTGCGTACATGGGGCACTACTTTTACTTAAGCATAAGGCATGAAAAAGCAGCTTTATTTTTTTTTTTCAAACATAGCTATCATCTTTACTCTTGATGCTTACTAGCTGGAAATGAAGCCTAGTACAACGTTCCACTTCCCAAAAGCATCTGAGACTATCCACCACATACATCATCATTGAACAATCTGGCACTGACATTGAAGTTGACTGTTTACAGTGATCTGAATCTTTAGGTAATGATGAAGTCAGTGTTGTAAGATTCTAAGCCTTTTATTGTTTTCCTTGATCCTTTATTCTTGTTCTTCTCATTCTGAGCTCATCACATTTGTCAAGCTTCTGTCAGGGGTTTGCGCTTATCAATGTTAGTAAGTCTTTATTCTTCTGATAGCTTTAGGATCCACACATCTTCAGCTTTGCTCTCATGTTCTTCATTCCAGTCTGACTTGCTCTGACTCCAGAGCAGACCAAACTAACAAAAGATAATAAAGAACTACCTACAGATAAACTGCAAATTACATATTACCCACCCACAAAATATTATTCATCGACAAATTCTTTTTTCCTTTTATTCTGTTCTCCTCTTCCTTTTAATCTCTGAGAGGCTGACTCTACAGTAGAGCACAGCTACAATGAGCCCGGATCCCTTGAAGCTAATTTTGCAGTGAAAGACAGTTCAGTGAAACGAGAGTCCTACATTGTCCAGATGCATTGCAATGTACAAATTACCGTTTGGGGTATAGTGAAAAGCTGATTACTCTGAAACTGATTTGTGAAAACAGATTACTTCACTGTAAGAAGAATTCATGTGGTAATATTTCAGTTTTCACTGCTTCTTAAAGAATAATATTTGCCTTCAGTTTTTCCTCCCCTGTGTTGTCTCAGGATCAGAGCTGAGAGCACTCAGACTTGGAGATCATATTTTGTTTCTTAAATAAGATAGTCTCTCAATATGGAACAGGATCTAAATAGTTACATTAGAGTGCTGGCATAGTTTTTCTTCCTTGTTAAAGTATTTTGGAGAAAAAAAATAACTGCTACAGTGGTCTAGATATCTGTCAGCTTTAGATATCTGTCAGTAATTAACTTTATCACTTATTAGAATAAAATGCACTGATTAGGAGTTTTTAATCAGTAAAATCCACACATTTACTATGGGTTAATATTTAGATCTAGTCTGGAAAAACATAAGTACAGTTTTAAAAGTTAATCATTAGGAAGCTAGATAGGTAATCCTGGCTTATTTAATAATCATTAGCAAGTGTATGAAGATTTCAAGATACAATTCATGGGAACATTTTTTGGAATTCCTACCTTGAATTCCACGATCTCCTGGTGGTCCTGGCAAACCATCCTTTCCTGGTGGCCCTGGTAACCCATCTTTTCCTGGGGGTCCTGGTTTTCCATGGGCTTGGGAGGCAAGCATTGCAGCAGGCAGCTTCAGCTGGGACACAAACTGAGCCATCCTTTCTTCATTAACAAAGGACACAAGAAAAAGTGAGTAAGAAATCTGCTAGCAAAACACGGCAAAATAAATAAATCCCAAAGCCCCAGCTGAAGTAAGTTTCTGGAAGTAAGGTGTTTAATCCTTCTAAATGTCAAGGTATTAAATGCTCCTGTAAGTACCGAGGCCTTCAGTTCCAACTCAGACTCATGTCTGAGTCTCTACCCTTTGAAATAATCTGAACGAATTTGTACTAAAGTTTCGACCACTACTCTCTTTTACTAATGTATTCCAATTATTTCAAATGACTTCTGACTCCTGTTAAAATACATGAACACAGAATAATTGGTACTTAACACCCCTATGAAGGGCTACCTTATATGTTTGTAACTCTTATTAAGTTGCAAAGTAGAGCTTAAATACCGTGAACAGTTCTTGGAATGTGCTGAAACCCTGAAAACAGTTGTGAAAAAACCTGTAAGTGCTCAGCAAACATTATTAATTGCAGAGATTTCAGCATGAACTGTTCATGCTGGTGGAATGAAGTGCACTTGGTAACATTTCAGTGCTCCTTAGAGGTAGGCAAAATAGATACTAACCTTGAATCTGTCTCATTTATAGTGGATTAAAAAACTTAAATAAGCATTCCACAATTTAGCAGGTATTTACTGTGGTGGAGTTTTAAGATTTGAGAAAAAAATTAGAGTAAAGAGAAGAGTGGGTATCAAACAAAAAATAAGCAAGGTGATAGAATATAGGCAAAGTGAAACAAAGCCAAAAATAGAAGATCTGTGGGAACACTAGTGAGGTGTAGAAAAAGGAATAGCTATTAAAGACAAAACCCAATATTCCCTGTAGGCAGGACACCTTTTAATACTTTCTTTTTATGAATAGGCTAAATACTTGTTACCAATCCATTTGAAGGGGAAAAGGAGGTAACTTCAGCCAACAAACTGCTCTTGAAATACATAGTAGGTTGAACTCCTAAGGGGTAGCAGTCTGGGGAAGGGTGAAAATACACAAAATCATAGCCTTGTTATGAAGTGAAAAACTGCCTGAACAGTTTAAAAAGTCTTAAACTTCATATGATTTCTTTTATCCCTAAAAGAGAAAAGGTTTTGTATCCACAAATATTAATGACAAAATAGCTAAGCATATTGCAGACATAAGAAATGCATTTTGCAATGGAAGAGAAGCTACTGTTAAGAGGTGTTCGAGCAGAAGCTTGTTTCAGACACCTACCTGAGTCACAGCTTTTCAACCCTGACTAAGAAAACGCTGGGGAGGAAAAACATTTCCTTTTCAGAGTAAGGAAACACCTAAGAAAGCTTACATAGTACAAAGGCCTTGCCTGAATCTGGTACTTGCCTAGAACCGTGCCAGAAGATGGTGGTCTGCAAGGGAGCTTTGGAGCTCAGCAGGGATGTTTGCTGAAAATGCACAGCAGTTTAGACCTGCATGACTGAAAGCGGTCAAGCCGTTCGTTCGTTTAGATAAGTCATCCACTAAGTGGCCAAAATAATTAGATATTTCTATTCTCTCCACTTTAATAAATCTTCAATGTCTTAATGATACGTTGTAGATACGTATGTATCTGCAACGATATATGATACATATATGTATCTACAATGATACATACATATGTTTGATATTATGATTTGGAGCAAACTACCTTTTAATGCTAATCTTTTACATAAGGGAATACTCTGGTTATAATTTACAATTGTTCGAACATAATTATATTAAGTAGACTTAACAGTTAAACATAGCTACGGCAACAAGGCAGCTGCTAAGTCCAATGTAAGTTAGATGACATGTAAAGAAATGTATATAAAGGCTGAAGGGATGTAAAACATTTAGAACAGAATTTAAGATTTACTTTTAGTTGTATAATACTTCATTTTCTTACCTTCAAAAACCTTAAGAACCTCTTGTTTGATATATTTTTTTATTTCTTCAAGTGAAACTGTATCAGCCTGATGAGGGGAAAAAAAAAGGTGATATGTATCAGAAGAAACATACAGAGGGCACTTTATGATGCTACAAAATTTAAAAAATGCTGAAATTAGCATTAAAAATGTAAAGCTTTCACCAAAAATTAAATATTTTAATATATTTGTGTTATTTACTGAACTGCAAAGGCCACTTTATTGCAAATACACTATAATATTATAAAGATCACTAATACCATGAAGTGGAAGAGGCACTCCCAACTGCCAAGATGACCAGCATGTTATGTGTATGGAAATTAATTTGCATAAGACAGTAAGGACGTCCAGTTACACCGCTATGCTTTACTTGACTTTTGCACAGCATATGCCAACTTCTCACCCCCTCTAGGAACTAACTGCTTTGATGCACAGCCGACCAACTAAAACTGCATCACAGGACGAATAACTTCACTGGAAAAGTTTTTTAGAGCTTTACCCCACTTGATTGAGGGTAAAAAGAACCCAAAACGTGGCTGTGTGCCTGTGTGCACATGGAGACAAACCAAGATATCTACACCTGACAGGCAGCATTTCATTGTCTTTTTAAACGCTGATTTCCCTTTTATTAAGAATCATTTTTGTCTGCCTCCTTTTCTTTCTCAGTTGCAAAGACTTACACTTTAGCTCTTAAGCTTATGGAAAACTTGAAAATTAACAGTATTGAGTAGCCATATTGATTTGTCAGGAGCTAAAGAAATAAATAAGTAAAGTTCATCCATAGCACATGTTTAAAAAAAAAATTAAAATAACTGCTTGATCACCTGGGTATATTTTTTCCACCTCTTAACTGAACACTGAAATTATCTCAGAGATATCTTAGTTTTTCTGATGCTGTGGTATTGCTTGGTTGAATTTCTACTGCTCAGCACATGCTACCTCCACGTCATCTGAATTCACAAGCAACAAAGGAAAACTTGTATTTACTTACCGGAAACCCTGGGGGTCCTGGTGAACCCGGGGGACCTTGATGACCTGGTGATCCTGGATAGCCTCTGTCTCCTGGTGGCCCAGTAGGACCCACATCCCCCTTTTCTCCTGACGGGCCAGGTTTCCCTCGTTCGCCTTGTGGACCTTTGTCCCCTGGAATACCCTGATCCCCCTGTATAAAATAAAAGCAGAAAGAAAACCATTGCACACAGTGGAACAAACTAGGAAAAGTCACCCAAGAATGCTAAAGAGAAAATTCTTCCCTGTTCAGAAATACATTTTATGAGTCATGCAGGGAAGCTGATTTTACAGGCTAACCCTTGTCTCTGAAAACAGAGCAAGTAACGTTTTGTTTTCTTACACTTTTAATGTCGAAGTCAATGACAAAAAAATAGCTTGACTCTGTGACCCACTTTCCAAGGACAGAACTCGGGTGCAGAAAGTTTATAGCCCTTACACAAGGATCTAGAAATGTCAAATATGGCATAGGTAGAATCTAGGTGCTGAAACTTCCCCAGGCACAAGGCATCAGGCTTTTTTCTGTAACTTTTCCTCGAAGCCTAATACTTTATTTCTGCATATACACAACATTTCAGTTAATCAAAGAAACAACAAATATACAAATACATTTGTAACGAGTGAATTCCTTGCAAACAAAATAAATTAAAGGTCAATGTTCTGGCCAGCAACAGCTTCCATCATGGCTGAGATGGCGTTTACATTTGTTTTATTTGTGAGGAATTAGATCCTTTAGAGTGACTTAATGTATTAGCTATTAGTTCACTGAACTACAGCTGTGGTGCAGAGTGCCGCAAGTCACACGTTCGGTTGTTAATGAACAGCTGGCAGTTCCTAAGGGTCACTGACTGCCCTTGCTGCATCACTTTAGCTAATGGTAGGCTCCACCATAAGCAGCAAACAGCCCCAAGAATTGACTACATCATTACTAGATACATCCAGAATCTACATTTATGAGGGGTGAATGAATGGAATTAACTGCATTCTTAATCTACAGCAAGTGCTGGTAAACTGTATTCAGATCTGAAACATCATTGACCGATAAACCAATAAAAGTGTAGTTATATTCTTAAGTTGTATTTACATGACATTTAAAGATTGAAAAAGAAAGAAAGGTAAGGATGCAAGTAGGAGGTTGTATAACATTTTTATCACCTATCTGTCTTCCAATCTGTATGATTTCCAGTGAGTTAGAGCTTATTACTGAGTATAACTAAGCTTCACTACAAAGACCACTGTAAATTGTGATGTTTTATTGCATTAACAGAAACCATAATGCATTCCCAATTGGAGTTTAAATTGCCCTCAGTAAGAGTGCAGAGGCTCTGAACCCTGAAAGTCTACCACAAGAAAAAAAAAAAGTGTCAAAATCTGAGACCTCATCATTTCACAGCTGTAATTTTAACCTCTGTGGTGGGTTGACCTTGGCTGCCTGTCAGGTACCCACCCAGCCGCTCTCTCACTCCCCCTCCTCAACAAGACAGGGATTGAGATGATAAGCTTGTGAGTCAAGATAAGGACAGGGAGATTGCTGACCAATTACCGTCAGGGGAAAACAGACTGAACTTGGGGAAGATTAATTTAATTTATTGAAAATTAATAACAGAGCAGGATAGTGAGACCTTCCCCTCAAACCACCCCCTTTCTTCCCAGGCTCAACTTCACTCCTCACTCTTCTACCTCCTCCCCCCAAGTGGTGCAGGGGGATGGGGAATGGGGGTTGCAGTCAGTCCTTAACACTTAATCTCTGCTGCTCCTTCCTTCTCACATTCTTCTCCTGCTCCAGTGTGGGGTCCTTCCCATGGGATACAGTCCTTCATGAACTGCTCCAGCATGGGTATTGAGATGATAAGCTTGTTAGTCAAGATAAGGACAGGGAGATTGCTGACCAATTACCGTCAGGGGAAAACAGACTGAACTTGGGGAAGATTAATTTAATTTATTGAAAATTAATAACAGAGCAGGATAGTGAGACCTTCCCCTCAAACCACCCCCTTTCTTCCCAGGCTCAACTTCACTCCTCACTCTTCTACCTCCTCCCCCCAAGTGGTGCAGGGGGATGGGGAATGGGGGTTGCAGTCAGTCCTTAACACTTAATCTCTGCTGCTCCTTCCTTCTCACATTCTTCTCCTGCTCCAGTGTGGGGTCCTTCCCATGGGATACAGTCCTTCATGAACTGCTCCAGCATGGGTCCTTTCCATGGGCTGTAGTTCTTCAGGAATGGACTGCTCCAGTGTGAGTCCCCCATGGGAAACAGTTCCTGCCTGAAAACCCGCTCCTGTGTGGGCTCCTCTCCATGGGCTGCAGGTCCTGCCAAGAGCCTGCTCCAGTGTGGGCTCTCCATGGGCTGCAGCTTCCTTCAGGGCATATCCACCTGCTCCAGCACGGGGTCCTCCACGGGCTGCAGGTGGATATCTGCTCCACTGTGGTCTTCCATGGACTGCAGGAGGACAGCCTGCTTCACCATGATCTTCTCCACAGGCTGCAAGGGAATCTCTGCTCTGGCGCCTGGAGCACCTCCTCCCCTCCTTCTTCACCGACCTTGGTGTCTGCAGAGTTGTCTCTCTCATGTTTTCTCACTCCTCTCTCCCAGCTGTTGCACAGCATTTTTCACCCTTTCTGTCACACAGGCAGTACCAACATCACTCCTGGGCTCAGCTTTGGCCAGCAGCAGGTCTGTCTTGGAGCCGGCTGGCATTGGCTCTGTCTGACATGGGGGCGGCTCCTGGTGCCTTCTCACAGAGGCCGCCCCTGCAGCCCCCCTGTTACCAAAACCTTGCCATGTAAACCCAATACAATCTGTCAAACTGCTAACATGATCACATAGTCATGGAAGTCAGGGAAGTCAGCGTGCCACGGAAACAATCTCAGTGTGATTACGTTTATTATGTCTCTCTTAAAAGACCCATCCTGCCAATACTGCAGATGTCTGATTTCCAGTTTTAGTTTCTGGGCATTAATACTTTGGGCAAAACTCTAAATATGCAGCATATGAATGATTTCCAACAAACACATAGCTAATTTAGCTATTCAGTAGAAAAAAGACAAGATATTATGTGATACACAAAAGACACCCGTAACCCTTGTCAAAGACTCCCAAATTTTCAACAGTCGATGGGAGCAGGAAAGGGAGCGGATGTGCATTGGGGGAAGTGGAAGAGTAATGTTCTGATGGAAGAGGTGTACCTTTTCAGGTTTCTATAAATTTTAAGATTTATAGGAAAAAGTGTTCTGCACTGCATACAGCTATTGTATCAGGACGTGTATTGCAACACCTTGAGAAATTCAGGGCAGAGGAAGGATTCTGACTGAGAAGCAGAACTTTTGCAGTCTGCAGGGAAGAGGCTCTTTTGGGGCCTTAACAAAATTTTTGCATCCAACCTCCACCTCCTACTTCACTCATATTGACCGGAAACATAAAATTGAAGAACAACTCCTGTTCTACCATATGTTATTGCAAAACTTGAAAGAGGTACAGCCTTTAATATAATTTTTAGTTTAGTCACTTTTTTGGAGATGGAAGTCCAGTATAGGGAGACACTGAACAGACCATTTTGTCTGATAGTGCTTTCAAATGAGACCATGCACCCATGCATGCACCCGCATATATAAAAAAAAGCTGTCTGAACATTACTATATTTATAAGAAGCCTTCATTAAAAACATATTTAAGGCAAATTATACATATATACTTTCTCAGGTTTATAACCCTGCAGAGTAGGTATGGATAGCTATTCTATTTCAAATAAAGAAAAATGCAGGTTTCTCTAAGGCCATGGTGCTATGGCAGTGTGAAGCTGATCCTGGAATTGCTTTTCTTCTAAATGATTCCCATTTTACAGGCTGCCAATGTGTAGAAGGCAGATCAAATACTACAGCCACTTTTCAAACACACATTTTTTAAACTGCCTCCAGTGTTTTCTTTGTGTTTGGAAGAAGCTCCTTGTAAAACCTCATAAAACCAGGTCATATCTTCCTCCACATTCCTCTTTAAACTCTCCTTCACTATGAATTGTACAAAAAACAGGGTAGGACATTTGCGTTTTGCGATCTCTGCCTACGGTGCTGATTTATTCAGTCCTCCTCCTTTCTAGTGTTCTCCCATCTCTTGCATTTAATCTTGTACTAAATCCTGTGCAGAAGGAGCTATTGTTTTGCCTGGGTTTCTACATGCTCTAGTCCAGCGGGCTCCCGGTCTGTGATCAAGGCATGCAGATAATAGCAATAAATGAGCCAGCCACCAGTACTTTAATCTGTTGTTGAAATTACTTGAAAGGCGTATTTCCAATTGGTATAAACCACATGTTTTCAACTGGTTTGTCACTCAGTTTATAAGGTAGTAATAACAGCAGTGTTTAATCACTCAAAGGATGTATAGGATTATTTCAGCCCAGGTGAATTCTTCCTTCTTAAAACAGACTCTACAAGGATATACTTATGAGAGACATGAAAACCTCAAGAGTTTTATTCTGTCCTTCCAGTTTTGATGCTTCTCTTTTCTGTAATTGCAACAGCTGGTCTCAAACTGAAGGAGTACGCTGTACAGCAGTCATAATAATGGCTGCAAGAAAACCTTGACTTTGTGTTATTTTCTGTAATCACTGCAATCTCTCTCACAGATGTAGGTCTGTAATACTTGATCCAGAGGCAAAAAAAAAAAAAAAAAAAAAATTCCAATTCCCCCCCAATTCCCCACTGATCTCTTATCCAAGATGCAGACTTCTGCTGTGTATTTCACTGTTATTTCTTAGGCAAATCTTCCCTTGTTTTCAACAAACCTTTTCTTTTCCTGCAGAATTGTAAGGAACAACTGACAGCTTTCTGAAAACTGTATTCAGATACTGCATTGGGCATATTTATAGCTTTCCTGTTATAAAAGGTTGTGAGAGATTTTGATTATCACTTGAGACAAAAATACTTCTGGAAATTGATTTATGTTTTAACATGTATCTATATATTTCTTCTATTGATGTATATGTGTGTGTGTGTGTGTATATTTATTTACTTATTTTACTCTGTACAGAGAGAGCTAGATCATGACATGTTTGCCAGTGATCCCAGAAGCGAGAGCAGATTCAGGCACCTGTGACCTCTCTGAGAGCAAGCATATATCCATATTTCCATCTATAGCTACATGTACATGTGTGTATGTATGTACTCTGTCACCGATGAGACTGGAATAAATACACCCTCTGCTCTTACCCTGAAGCTTCCCAAGTTTCACTCTGATGAAGCAAGCTAAGGCTGTGTCTCTGTCTCTCACAGACTTTTTCAACATCCTCCTCCCTGTCAGCATGTTTCAAGGTCATGCACTTACAGGTCCAGCCTCCTCTTTTGGCTGTATGTGTATAGTACTATTTGCAGGGCATTCAGGTAGGTTGACACTGAGAAGGTCAAGGCTGAGTGGTGTAATGCAGTACACAGTAGACGGCACTATAAGAAGGTTCTTACATTTTATTTGTGTCCTTAAAGGCAGAAACACAACATTGCAAACTGTTAATTTTTGTAAGGGACAATTATTGTAATAATCGTTAAAACCTCATGTTTTTATGTGTCATCATTATGACACCCACAGTGTCATAAAGCAGCATTTCCTTTTCCAGATTACACAGGGGGGTGCTTTTCTGATTCATCAAATAAATGTGGCATCAATTAGATTAGGACATCAGGGCTTTAGCAATGTTATAACAAGAGCAGAGTATGCGCTAGGATTTTCTTTGCTCTAGCAAAATAAAGATCATCTCTCACCTCCCGTAATGATTCCTGTCCACCATGATCTTGTTACCATGAACAGAACTGTCTAAACATTTTGGGAAGCAGTAAAGTATTGCATTGGCATTCCTGCTGCCTAAGTGCAACAAGCTTGTTTTAGATAAAACATGATTTGCATTTGTGACATACAAAGATCTCGGGGATGACAATGGGGTAAGCTTTATAGCTCTTGCAAAGTCTGACAGCATCACAGCAGGATTAGCTACTTTCTAATTTTCAACCTATTGATCAATTTACACTGTCCAGGCCAACTGTGTTAGAAAATCTATGAAATGTGTTTTTCCTCTAAATGCAGAAGCAATTTGATTCTAATTTGTTGAAGTGGTGTCTAGGACTAAACCTCTGAGTTGTCTAAGAGACTGACTGAAGTTCATAGAGAATTAATTTCTTGGTTTTGCCTGTAAAATATGTGCTGATGAGGTGCTTAGATGCTCAGTAAAAAGAAAAAAAGTTATTAAAACAAGGGACTTACACGTTCTCCTTTGGGTCCTCTGTCTCCTGGTCTCCCCACAGCACCCTGAAAAATCATTTTTGAAAAAAGATAAACATATCACTTAAAGGCTTTTTTGTATATTCATCTGTTAGCAGAACTGAAAGCAACGGCCTAGGATTAACAGCTCTGGTATCTGTGAAGAATAAAATACACTAGTATGTAAAAGCATGTTTTCCTACCGGAAGACCTGGCAATCCATCTTTTCCACTGATTCCCTATTAAAAAAAAAAAAAACAATTTTTTAAATCTTTTCCAGATTCCCTATTAAAAAAAAAAAAAACAATTTTTTAATAAATTTGCTTATGTATATGCATTTTAAATATAAAGGGTAAAGCTCAATGTTTAGTGCTGGTATCAGTACATATTTTGAAGCTGCAGAGAGAGCAGTTTGTGTGGTTATGCATTTTAAAAATATAAAGGGTAAAGCTCAATGTTTAGTGCTGGTATCAGTACATATTTTGAAGCTGCAGAGGCAGCAGTTTGTGTGGTTACAATATAGAACTACTCACAAATAGTCTTGAGACGTGAAATAACAGAGCTCAGGGCGATACTGAACTGCAAGCACATTAAATTTGAGCTGAGAGCAGAGCAAAAAAAATCTTTGGCATCGAGATGTGCATCAACTTTAATGAACACACAACTTCAAATGACAAGTTATATGGAAATTCCACAAATGTGGAATATGGACCTGTACATGCGCTTTTCCAGTCCCAGCTAGTCATTATACAACCATAGAGGAGATTTCTCTTATTCTAGATATTAGCCCTGATGCCCTATTACCCTTCTGCTGTTACAGAGATTATGCCTTAATAGTAAGTGGCCAGATCCATTCTTTGGTCCTTAGGACTTGTGGCATGGCACAGCTTCAGCCTCCTGGGCTAAACATGTTTCCTTCCCAAAAGAGGGTGGTCTCATTCATACCACCTGCTGGAAACAGTCCCAGGCCCATGTTACCCCCCAAACTGGAATGTGGCATTATCTGAGAGTCCTAGTCGGCATGGGCCAAAATAATGTCAGAGTATGTTAACAACTGCACAATGCCAGATAATTGCAAGATAAATGCTCTGGCACTGTTTAATTTACTAGGATATACATGGATCTGCATATGCAGCAAACTCTGCTATTTCACTGAGTGAGAAAGAAGGACTTGCATGAGCAAAGACATCAGGAATGTTTGCTTCCCTCTCATGCTGCAAAGTGGAGTTTTGCACAGATTAGGCATCTTGGGCCAATTTGCTGCTGAAGTTACAGAAATTGTCTCTTCTCTCAAGACAGAAGCGTAACGTGGAGACGTGCTGACAAACTGAAATGGTCTGCTTCTCATGCTTGTCCCCAAAACACCAAGCTTCGGGGGAGATAATGAGTTCTGCGCTATCCTTTCTGAACCATTTCTAGAATATAAACTAGGTTGTTTTAAACCAGCTCAGACAATGCTGACTACACTGTTGCCACACTTTTATTAAATAAAGAGGTCAGATTAGACATATCCTAAGTGAACAGTAAATGCTTTAGCTGCAGTGTTTCATCACCTGTATACAGAAAAGTTATGAAGTTTATTCAGAGTCATGAAACACACGCTTCTCTATCTAAACCAAAACCGAGAATGTATTTTGTCACCCCATCCTTTATAGACTGTGTTGAGTGTCTGGGTTAATATTCTCCTTCTGAAAAAATAAGAGAGGATCCTTTATGTCAACAGGATCCAAAGGACCCTCATAAGACCTTTAAAGGCAACATCTCAGTAACACTAACTATTAAATCATCACAATACGAGGAATTCTTGACTGGATGGTTAATACTGAGCACTGTAGCCCTAAGTGTTCTTCAGATGTTACCTAGCCTAACACAAAGCAGGATGTAATCTGATTTCTTTTGTAACTTCTGATACACTAAGATGTATCCTTTTGTAATGAACATATATATTCAGTATAAAATTGCTTACTGGTTTTCCTTGTGGCCCTTCTGGCCCAGGGAAGCCTATATCTCCTATAGGTCCTCTGTCACCCTAAGAAAGAAGAAAACACGTATATAAATCTGCATGTAAAATTTTGCATTCGGTGTTTGAAATATTTGTGTATTATCACAAGAGTCCATAACTCAAATCTGTACTTACAGGTTCCCCTGGCATCCCTGGGGACCCGGGAGATCCCGTCTTTCCCTGCAGAAAGAGAACATTACAAATTCAAATTACTAGGAAGCAAAATATAATTTCTCTTAGGTCAAAAATAAAAGAGGATATATATTTGAGTGAAATATTCATGTTACTGTTCATTAAATGCTTTAAGAGAGGAAAAATAAATATTTTGCCAGATTTTTTTAATATTTATGCCATGTTAATCTGGCTCTTGTGTATAACATAACTCAATCACTTGGTCGTCTTTACCCTTTCTGAATACTGAGATAAGGTTTTCATGAAATTTTCTTTTACATCACCATTATTTCCTTCTTGAGAAGTCATAGTCAGATCAAAGTTTATCACTGCATATGTGAAATCGAGATTTTTTCCTTCAGGTACTTCCTAGTCCTGATTTTTTTTAAAGTGAGTTTATTACTGACTTAACAATGCCATGTTAATCTGGCTCTTGTGTATAACATAACTCAATCACTTGGTGTCTTTACCCTTTCTGAATACTGAGATAAGGTTTTCATGAAATTTTCTTTTACATCACCATGATTTCCTTCTTGAGAAGTCATAGTCAGATCAAAGTTTATCACTGCATATGTGAAATCGAGATTTTTTCCTTCAGGTACTTCCTAGTCCTGATTTTTTTTAAAGTGAGTTTATTACTGACTTAACACCTTTTGTAAATTTTCTTCATGCTCTTTTTCGGCCACTTTTATTGTCGTTTTAAGTTCAGCCTGCCAGAATTCACAATCCTTTCTCATCTCATCATTTAGATGGTGATTTTAAATGTCTTTGTTTTTTTAAATGATGCCTTGCTTTTAACAACCTATCTGGTTCAGCCCCAGACAAGAATCTATTACCCTGAATCTACATTTCCCGGAAATATCCTTAGACCAGATCCTCAGCTGACTTGTACAAGTGGGGGATCTAACACATCAATGCCAGTAACAACTTCAGGAACAACAGGACTGAGGATTCGTGCTGAGGAAATAGGCATTGGTGGCAATTCTTGCAGTATGTCCGTCCAAGCTTCCCTGATAATCCCGCTCAGCAAAAAGCCAAGGCTAAAATGAGAGGTTTATATTCCCAAATGGGAAAAAGGGTCCACTATTCAACCTAGGGAATAATGCCAGGCAAGGAGGACAAATTCTCTTCCAGTAAGATATGTGGATATATTTCAAAAACTCTTCCTAGACTACTAAGAAATATTGTCTCTCATATGTCTATTAATTTGTTAATTAAAACTGCTTAGCATAAAATGTTAAAACAAATAATTTATTTCAGTGGATTTTATTAGAATTAAATGTAATCAACAGAATGCAACTCCATCAGTGATGAAGGGAACTCATTAAATATTTCATATCCAGCTAGAACAGAGAGCAACAAGAATAAGACTTGGAACATATCCAGTGGGAAATACACAGGGAATGAACAATTGTAATCATCCTACTGCATTATTGATTCACAGCGTGAAATATATTTCAGAGCAACAAACTCTGAAACTCATACATGGGCTATAAAACTCAGAGAAATACTTCGCTTTTCCCCTTAAATGTGCAATTTTACCTTGTTTTAGGAGAACTTAACTAAATTAATCTATTTAAGCTGATGTTCTTTCTTGGAACTCACAGTAAATAGGCTACATCAGTGGCTAATGGAAATGGGAGTGCATAGACACAAACTTCTCTTTATTTCACAAAACACGTATTTATAATTTAAAAACAGTTCCTGAATGGATTGGTAGCTGCTGAAATTTAATAATAAATGTATTTGCATATAAATAACTCCATATTGCCTCCTGAAATATGGATAAACTTTTTTATTAAACTGTGAATGCAATCTAAAGAAAAGTTGCCTTCATTTCCTTTAGGAACACAAATGAATAATTATAATTTCAATTTATCATTAGTTACATTTACTTTCACCTACCACAAAGTTTCTGGATGATTATCAGAAACTTCTCTGAATACCACATGTAAATAGCTGACAAAGCATTCCCCTAAAGCAAATGTTTGGTCAACTTGATATGCAGATCCTTGTAGATTGCAATAACTAACATTCATAATAATTCTTTGTGATAGAAAGATGCTCAGAAATTTGTGCATGCCCAGGAACACAGAAAATGTCTTCATCTATATTAAACTGAGGCAATGAGAACAATCTCATATGCTTTCTTAAGTAAGCATATGCAGCTTCAAATTCCAGCTTTATCATGTATTCATACCATTCCCTCCTGTCATTTTAAAAATAGTATGAACCCTCAGTGGTAATAAAACTCTAATCTCTTTAGGAAAAACACATCATTTTCATACCTGCCTATAAAGCATTAGCCAAGCACTAGTGTTCCACAAACAGTGATCGAGATTACAGCTCAGCACCTTGCTTGACCTGTTTTTTCAGCTTCTAACAAACTGAGTTTTCTTTAATGAATATACATACCGGTGTCCCTGCTACTCCTGGCGTGCCAGCTGGTCCACGGTCACCCTGAAGAAAAGATAAATCTATACTTAAATGGTAACAATCAAACAGAGTTTTGTTTGTGGATTCCCATTAAAACCTGAGGAAGGATTATTCAGTGAACTGAAAATGAGGACAAGAGCCAGGCTCTGCTAAATGCTAATATTTAGCTCTGCCACTGACTCATTTTACAGACTTGAGCAAGTAACTTAAATCCTTTGTTTAGGTTCTCTTGTACAATGTCATAATTTCCATGCTATCCCTTATACTCTGCTTGAAGCCTTCCTTGAAAAGGGATGGAAAGTCCCTGACTTATCTGTAGTTTTCCAAATAATTATCATTTGTCGTCATGACAATGACCAAAATTCACATAGGGTAATTCACCAGCATATCAACATCCCCATATTTAAGATGTATCTTTCAAAGAAGTTTTCATGTTCTTGCTACCCAGTCATCCGTTTGCTGCAAGTCAGCATCCCCGATTTGCTTGTGCCATGGTCCTTTCAGGGCAAAGTTTCTCCTTTTAGCATACAGCCACCTTCACCTACGCTTTAAGCTAAGACAATGGGTTTTGTGCTGGAGCTGATGAGTTATGGGCACAAATTCATCTTTCTCTCTTGAGAGGACTATAACCCAAAGCAGACAGATGGAGCTCACCAGTGGTAAAACTCTACACAGTGAGATTTGCCCTAACCCACTGCTGACATGTATTGGTCTGTAAAACTACACTCTGCTAGTATAACGTTGGTTAAAAATGTAAGAAAAAAATCAGGCTCCTAGTTTCTGTAAGTGTGTAAGAAAAGCCCTGGCACAGTTAAAAGCCATACTAACAGGAGAATATTTTTGTGAGATGAGTTTACGTTACCTGGAGCTGTTTTGCAAAAGCTCTGCCAACATAGCTACAGCCCTGTTCTGTTGTGCAGAAGAGCCCCAGGAGATGGTGGGATTTCTGGTTTCTGTTCTTATACCTAATGCTGATTTGTCTCATTCTCATCATTTTGTTCAGGTAGCGCAATGATAATGCTGGGAATTAGAAACACTTAACTCCATTAGACAAAGTGTAGACAGATGACAAGTTAAACGTCTGACCTTGCGTCCGGAGGGAGAAGCTTGCTTACAGGCCACAGTTCAACCTCTCTTGCTCTGGAGGCTAAAAGAAGTCACTTAATGCAAGTTCACCCCTCAGTGAGGAACATGCACCTCAGGAACACTTGAGCACTGAGTATCTGTAGCAGGGCATATTGGCTGGAGCACTGCACTCTGTCCCTGTGGTTATTCTGGACCCAGAACTTGTATCGTGGTGTTTTCCCTATACGCTGGCTATGACAGTGAAGCTTAGAAATTCCTAGCACTTCCCTTGCAACTTTTTTCTTTTAAGGATTATTCTGGTCCTTTCAGCAATCTGATTCGCAGCACGGATGCACAAACCACTGTGTCAGCACAGCTGAGGGACATTTTAATGCGAGGACACGAAGTTTTTAAGACAGTTCATGCAATTCCCGTGAAATTACAGCCAACGTTGTCTGTGGAAGATGGCATTCTGCTACACAGATATACCTAATAGCTTTAAATGCACCAGCATGCACTGTACTGTTGGGAGTGGCAGGCAGACTCTGGGATTCTGTTCATTTATTCGCACCAGACGTGGAATTTTGACCAAATTTAGTTAAGGAAAGGATATTTTTGCTTTGGGAAAGGGCCAAACACTCACTTAGCTTGTTTATACGATCTGCTCCATTGCTTATTCCCTTTATTTAATTCTTGTCCCCACTTTGTCTCAGTTAGACCTGTAATAGCTCCCTGTGTTTATTCATTCTGAAATCTTTAATTGCTTGTAAATTGCAGTCTTCCAGAGCAAGAATCATCTCATGTAATTTAAATATCTAGTATAGACACCTACCTTAGATCTTGTCACTCCCCACTCTGCACAAGGAGTAATGCACACTGATATTGAGAGAAACTTTTCATTTACATTGCTTTTTGATGAAAAATAAGTTTCAGTAAACTATTTTTGTATGAAGTAATTGAATAACATGTAATTCAAAAAGCTGAATAAATATTCAATTTTAAAAAAAATTACTCTTTTTTCTTCTTAAATGTAGAAGATATGGGCAAAATCAAACTGTTTTCACTGACAGAAAATATATTTACAGATTTTTTCATTTTGCCACTGAATTTTTTGTACTTTGCCATATTTAGAAATAAATACCAAAATCTTGAAATTTTTAGCATTTCATGAAAAACTTTTCTCTAAATTCGTATCAGCCTCCACAACTAGTAAGTGAAAGGCTGAAACATGCCACCAGCTGAAGGAAAGGATCATTTCCTAGCGCTGGAATGCAGACTTGAACTACAGGAAGGAGCTGGAGAATGTGATACGGTTCGGGATGTGCTACGGTGGTGTCATACACGCAGTACGGAGTGCAAGAAAAGCAAAACAGAAACAAGGGGCCTTTTTTAGAATAATGGGCAACAGTCTGAGAAAAGAGATTTTTGCTCACTTTGGAGCAGGATGCAATACAACAGGAACTGTAGGGAATCAGTCTCTCCCTCTATTTCTACTCTTTTCAACATTTTTACACTCATCTGAAATGGTCTTTTTTTTTGTATGGAAGTCTTGCATGCACTAGGTCTAGACTAATTCAGGTACAAAATTCTCCTCAGATCTGTAGCTATGCTGCAAATCTTAGAACAAGACAGACAGACTGTAAGCATAAGACGATGTTCAATAGAAAACAAGAACTAGTGACCATACTTAGGAACATGTTAACTATATAACTATCAAGTAATATACTTATATATAGTGTGTGTGTGTATATATATAAAAAATATAGTATATAGTAGTATTCTATGAAGTTAAGAAAACAAAATATTACAAGGCCTCCTACACACAATTTTCCACTTGCGGAAAATGAAATTTTATGTTGGGTGAGTATAGGATTTAGATCCACAGTAAAGGAAAAAAAGAAAATACAGATAAATATGCAAATATTTTTCACACAGAAACATTAACTTACACAAAAAAAATTCAAATAAGGTTTCAGAAAACATTTAGCTGCAGATAGTTGCCACTAAGAAGCCATGACTTCTTTTTAAGAGTCCTACCTTTTCCCCTGGGAGTCCTTCCAGTCCTGGTAATCCCATCGGTCCTGGGTCTCCCTAATTTTTTTTTTTGATTAAAAAGGATTGCATACATTAGAATTTCTGTACTCTACATGAGAAATGTTGAACAGCAAGCAATAGCAGATTATTTAACTTGATATTAGTAAAACAGCTAACCAGTTATTAGGTGAACAGATTTTCTTATGCCTTATTTTAGTGATCTGCGAATTAAGCTTTTCCCAGAGGCATTGTGTAAATATTTGAGCAATGGTTTTAATTTTGATGACGAATATAATCCAGAAGACTCTCCTCCAGTGTTCTTGCAAGCCAAGGTTAGCTCTAAAGCACCTCCAGGCTGTAAAGCCTCGGGGTGTAAGCATACGCCGTCAACCAGAGAACCAACCTCCACGCAATTCTGTGCTCTGTTCCCTAAACAAAGCTTACTCTGCAGCAAGGGACACAGAGACTAGGTCCCTGTGTAGGTCTTCAAGTTTTGAAAGAAAACCAGAAACATGCTCCACTGGAGAAATCAGTTTAATGTATAGAGTGGGGAGGCCCTTTTAATTCTTTTTCTTTTTTTAAAGAAAATCGATAATTTACCATAGAGATTTAAACTACAAATCCAACAAATCCAGTATTTCAGTAATTCTCAGTTAAATCAAAAGTCACAGCAAATTCCTGCCTGGATTTCATGAAGTCTCTGGCAGATCTCACTTTCCACACCTAAATTCTGTTTGGGAGATGATGCTTCCTGAGTAGGAAGTGGATGCTGGTACAGAAAGACGTATTCAGCTTCTGGGCATTATGATGAAACAAAAAAAGAGGCTTTGTGACTTTTTTTTGAAAATTGGTTAATCAACTGTTTTAGGAAACTATCTCACAACTCCATGTTTTGCTGTGAGTGCTGAGGGGTTCTGTTTTGGGTTTCTTATTGTCCTTGAGGAGCACAGTTATCACATTGGTTTATAGATCAAAGTTCAGTTTTTCATGTGGCTGGCTCTCCATTAACACTTGGCAAAGAATCAAACATGATCCTAGGCCCTGCACAGGTTGGCTGAGTGGGGATTATGCACCTTCATGATAGATGAAGTCCTAGCCAGCTGTTAAAAATGTTAGCTTCCCATACCACTTTGGTCTTGGCTGGGTTAGTCTGAGCTAGCTGCGCTTTATTCTGCTGCTATTTTTGTGTAGATACTGTGCCTGCACTGCTAGGAAAAAAGATACAACTAAATGGTACTGGCATGCTGCTTTCATGAGGAGAGACATTTCTCAGTAGTTTCACACTGATACTGAAGAGAAAGACTCTTATATGGATATGATATGGATATATGATATTATATGATATGGACCCCAGTCAGAAGACAAGAACCCTTCAACAGAGAAGACACTCATCATCATCTTCCAAATACTGTGGCCTGATACGTTCAGATAAGGCCAGTCTCTAGTGACTTACCTTTAAAGGTCTCTTCCAACCCAAACTATTCTATGATTCTATGACATTTGAACAGTCTATGTGTTGTGCTCTGACCTGATTCTTTACTACCAGGCATCCAAGATGTTGGCTGAACCATCTCCTTATTTATTTTGCCCAAGACTAACAATTCGAAGACAGGACAGCAGCTGGAGAGCTCAAGTGTCAGCTTCTTGGTGGTTGAATGAACTCCTGAATGTGTTAAGGAACTCTGTCAGTATTCTCTGAAGTAGTAATTTGTTTCATTAGTAGCAGACATAGCTGTTCTTTACTTTGCTGGAAGGGATGTGATTTTGTTTCAAAAATGATCTCCAATATTTCTCAGGGTTTCCTGATCTTTATCAAGCAGACAATTTATCAGCACATCACGGGGAACGCAGTCCGATTGGGCACAATTTTCTTTCCTAACTAGCTCAGCTTCTACTGCTTTTATCAGCAAGCTCTTCTCATCAATTTCCATTAGCTGACAGATGGTACTCATCCTGATTCAGTCATACTGCCTGCAGTTCAAAAGAGGTTGCAGTGTTATAGTGCTGCAACTATCATTATGCAGTTATGTGATGTTCCTTAGACTTGAAAAAGAAGTACACAATGTATTGAAATTTTAACTGCTGTGGAAGCACCTATCCAATTTTTAATACAATATCCATTTAAAATGACACTTGATACTATCATACTTTTTGGGCTAAACCATCAATACTCAAATTTTACTGTTATCTTTTGGGTATTTTCACTGATGTCCAGTCATCAAGACGCAATACCTGTAAGTTTCAACTTTGCCACCTTCAAGGCTATGAACTGTAGTGACAAATCGCAAGCTAATGACAAATATCGTTTCTCTATTACAAAGGCAAGCGACATCACATGTCAAGGACTTTGGGAAAAATGTACACACCCAGTCAGGATTTGGATCTACATTCTGCTGGCAGCTAGCCCTATGCAACAGCTCAAGATTCTTCCACTAGTTGTCCTTCCCCTCCTCATAATTTTTAAAGAAAGATCACGTGAAAAGGACATAACACAACGCTTAAAGGAAAAAAATATCAAAAGCTATAGATCTGCTTTTGAATGTCACACTGCATAGTTGAAAGGTATAGTGGCTCCCATGATCATCATCATCTTGCTCACCAGAAGCAATGTGATCATACTGAAACTAACCATCATACCATTTCCAAAGAAAACATCAACTTCTAGTTGTTACTAGCTAGCATGATGTAGCACGCTGTCCTTTCTCCCTTATCACTTTCAAATTTAATGTTGAGAACAATCTAATTGCTCCTAAGGTATTTTCTACCTTTATTGCACATTCTCTATTCTTAGATATATCCAGCGACAGCTCAGCAGAGATGAATCCACAAGCAGTTAATACTATGTTCAGTCATTCATTATATTATCACTTAGAACTATTTACCAGAAATTGCAAAATTTGCAAGCCTGGCAATTAAAAAGGCTTTTTCAGATGTACTGATTCTGCAGGAAGTAAGCTACCTGCTGAAGAATGTTAATGGACTTTTCCACCCTTGTGACTAGGATCGTGTGTTGAACTACTTGGGGAATTCTCTATCATAACCAAAAAATTCATACATACCACTGTGCCAGGATCTCCTTTCGGACCCTGCGAAGAAATGAAGAAGTGGAAACACATTTAAAAAAGAACAGAGTTACACAGTAAGATGGTATTTTTTTGTATTACTGCATTGAGTATACTTTGCTAATGCAGTGCATTTAGAACCAGTATTAAGTCCAGCCCTCTCAGCTGACTAATTTAGTATAAAATCTTAGTAATATTTGGTTTTTGTTTTGCTGTTCCAGAATACAGAGAAAGACAGCTCTGCAGTCCGGTGCGAGCCTGTGACTACAAACGGCACATAATGTAAGGACAAAGTCCTCACTGAAGGTTGTGGTTACCAAAATGACAATCATCTTAAAACAGTAGAACTTGCCTATGACCCTAACAAGAAGGAGGACCTAAATAAGTGCATAGCATCTTTGGCTCCACAGAACCAAAGCAACAGTGTCCTGCTGCAAGGTGGTGCATCTGCACTCTGCAGCGTGGAAGACACCAGCCCTGCGTTACTGCCACAATAGAATTCTCGGTTTGACACATTTTTCTGCACTGTAGCTACACGCAGTGAATCAGTGACAGAACTGAGATCAGAGTTCATGAGCTTCTCATTTCCGGCATCAGATTTAATCCATTACAAAACTATGCCACCACTAACTATAAATACTATATTACACATTTTAAGATATTACGATACTTTCACTAAAGAGTCCAATACCAAATTATGTACCGTTTTTGCAGCCTTTACTTGCTAGGGTGAAATACTTAAATCAGAATAAACTACTCTCCAAAATGGGCTAAAATGCTTGATAAACACATAAGATCACATACTTTATAATTTACTACATACCAATCATATCCTTATTTTTTCTATCTTTCACATATAAAATCAAATTCCATGCCACTTACCAAAACTGCATGCAAATTACCAACCCCTCTGTTGCTATGTTAATTAACTATTAGAAATTACGCTTCTGTTAATACTTACTGGAGGTCCTGGTGGACCTGGATAACTAGCGACACTCACACCTCCCTGTAACAGCAAGTTTAAAAGTTGAATTGGGCCAAAATTAGGTGTTGATTGGGGGGAAAAAAAAAAAACATTAAAGACAAATACCTGGAGTTTATATAAGCTGCTCATTCCATTTCTTTCATTGTAAGGCATACCCTTTAAAACATAAAAACCAAGTAAGTGTCACAACTATGAATCACAAAGGCAGAGCTCTTGCCCTGTTCAAGCCCCATAGCTCAGCAAAGCTGTGGTATCATTTTTGTTCTTGATCAATTTTTCAAAGATTCCAGACATTTCAGTAAGAACATAAGATACATACCAATGCAGCTTGGGACTTTTTTTGAATTATGAAACGAGAAACCTGTAAATCTCAGTGTATGTTACATTTTGATATTTATTATTATTATAATTCTCCAGAATTAATTTTGAGTTAGGTACCATTCCAGTTAATTCGGAGTCTAGTGAGCTCCATGGACTTTCCCTAGGTTCCCTGAGTTCCCTGATCTCAGGTACCCAAGCTGTCTAAATTACTCTAATAACATTGGACACCAAGGTTAACCCATTTGACCCAGTTTCTAGGATGGCTTTATTGACCTGAACTTACTTAGCAATGAATCACAAGAAAAAAAAGGAATACAGAAATCTTTTGCAAAAAAGACATTGCTGTCTTCCTGCACTATTAATATGTATTAGATTGACAGTCAATTCTTTATATTACATTACATTTTACTCACAGGTATATTGTTCCTAATATAACATTCAAAATATAAAACAAAATGTCTCACCGGAGGCCCAGGTGGTCCAGGTTTCCCAGGAGAACCTTCACTACCCTAGTACACCAAGAGATTCATATAACTCATTTACTGTAACTGATGTCCAGATCTATTCCATACCCAAGCTATGATGACCATAATGACAATAAACAAGAGATACAGTCAACATGAGCAGGTAATATCAAGAATAAATTCTCCTGCCCAGCTCCTGCTTAAGCTTTAGGCAAGTTATTTGTCATTACTTGATACTAGTTTTTCATTTTGTTAGTTACTTGATGCTTTATGTGTAGTAACTTCCTTGTGGCAAAATAGTAGTGGTAACCTGGGTTGTGAAACACTTCATATATACCAGGAAGGAGAGGAATAATTAAAAAGAGTTGTTAATATCAATTTCTAAGCAACTGACAGATAAAAGTTAACATTTATTTTATGCTTTGTATATTATTTTGCAAAAGCCAATGCT